AAGGATATGGGCACGAAAAGGGAATAAGGGAAGGATGTGGACACGAAATAGGGAAGAGGGAAGGGGCACGAAATAGGAAGAGGGGAAGGATATGGACGCGAATAGGAAGAGGGGAAGGATTGGACACAAATAGGGAAGAGGGGAGGATAGGGACACAAATAGGGAAGAGGGGAAGGATATGGACACAAATAGGGAAAGAGGGAAGGATATAGGACACCAAATAGGGAAGAGGGAAGATGACACCAAATAGGAAGAGGGGAAGGAAACCAAAATAGGGAAAGGGGGAAGGATGACACGAAATAGGGCAAGAGGGGAAGCCAAATAGGAATAGGAAGGATATTGACACCAAATAGGGAAGAGGGGAAGGATATGGACACGAAATAGGGAAAGAGGGGAAGGATATGGACACGAAATAGGGAATAGGGGAAGGATATGGACACGAAATAGGGAAGAGAGGGAAGGATGTGGGCACGAAATAGGGAATAGGGGAAGGATATGGGCACCAAATAGGGAAGAGGGGAAGGATATGGACACGAAATAGGGAATAGGGGAGGGATATTGACACGAAATAGGGAATAGGGGAGGATATTGACACGAAATTGGGAAGAGGGGAAGGATATGGACACCAAATTGGGAATAGGGGAAGGATATTGACACGAAAATAGGGAAGAGGGGAAGGATATGGACACCAAATTGGGAATAGGGGAAGGATATTGACACGAAATAGGAATAGGGGAAGGATACTGATACGAAATAGGGAAGAGGGGAAGGATATGGACACCAAATAGGGAAGAGGGGAAGGATACACAGCTTAGGAAGAAAATTAGGAATAGGGGGAAGGATACTGACACGAAATAGGAATAGGGGAAGCGCATACTGAGTACGAAATAGGGGAAGAGGGGAAGGATTATGGACACCACAATTACGGAATAGGGGAAGGATTAATGGACACCAAATTAGGAGGAAGGGAGGGGTAAGGAGTATGGACACAATATAGTGCGAAGTTAGGGAAGGATATGGAACCGAAAGTAGCGGAAGAGGGGCTGACAGTGAGATTGCACGCGAAATAGGGTGAATACGAGGGCAAGGATCTATGACACGAAAATTAGGGGTAAAGAGGGGACAACGCGATAATTGACACGACACATAGGGAAGAGGGGAATGGGGATACTGGACACCGAAAATTGGGATAATTCAGGGGAAGGATATTTGCACACAGAAATACGGGAATAGTGGGAAAGGGAATATCTGATACGAAAATAGGGTAAGAGCGGGCAAGGATATGGACCACCAATATTAGGGAATAGGGAAGGATATCGGACCACCAAATAGGCTTAAGAGGCGGAAGCGATAAATATCTTGGACACCAGAAATAGGCGAACATAAGGGGCAAAGGATATGGCACACCAAATCAGGACAAGAGGGGAAGGATCATGGACAACGAATAAACCTATGGGACAAGAGTGCAAGGATATTGAACGCGAAATCAATAGGGAATAGCGGAAGGATATTGACACGACAAGTAGGGAAGAGGGAAAGGAGATGGACACCAAATAGAGAATAGCGGGTAAGGAATGGACACGATAATAGGAAATAGGGAAGGATATGTGTCCGACACCAAAATAGAATCACTGGGGAAGGATATGACCCAAATAGGGAACGCAGGGGGAAGGATATGGACACGAAATAGGGAAGAGTGAAGGATCCATTGCGACCACGAGAATAGGGAAATAGCGAAGGATAGGACACGAAAATAGGGTAAGAGGGGAACGGAATTGACACGCAAATAGGGGAACTGAGGGGGAAGTGATATGACACCAAATAAGGGAATAGGGAACAGGATATTGACACGAAAGGAGCGGAAAGAGGGCGAAAGGATATTGACACCAAATAGGACACAGCTAAGAGGGAAGGAATATGGACACGAAATAGGAAGGAGGGAGGATATGGAACACGAAAATAAGGGGAATAGGGGAAGGATATGGACACGAAAATAGGGGATAATAGGGGAAGGATATGGACACGAAATACGGGATATAGGGGAAGGATCACTATGGACACCAAATAGGAAATAGGGCAAAGTGGATATTGACATTCGAAAAGGGAAGAGGGAAGGATATGACACCAAATGAGGAAATAGGGGAACGATTATTGCATACGAAATAGGGAAGGGTAGGGTGGAAAGGATATCTGACCAGCCAAATAGGCAATAGGCGGAAGGATATTCGACACCCAAACTTAGGGGAATAAGCGGAAAAGGATAATGGCACGAAATTAGGGAGAGGCTGGACAGGTATATTGACATAACGAAATAGGGAATCTAGGGAAGTGGGAACATAGTGAAATTGAATTAGGGAAGGATAGGTGAATCTTGGATAGGAGAGATGGTGGTTCTTTTTGGAGTTTTTGATGTTGGGTTGTCTTTTTCTTTTTTTTTTTTTTTGTTTTTTTTTTTTTGTTTTGTTTAGGGAGCAAAGTGTTAATCTTTTTTTACTTATAACTGGTCTTTTATCTTCATGAGATCTTGTGTGTGTAGTGTAAAAACCAATTAAATGTCCTATAAAGGTAAGTGAGATACAGACACATGCGTTGAATGACAGCCTGAGTCAGCCGTGTAATGCTGAAAAGGCCGTTTTCATGTTGCTTTAAGATTATGGGATGGCAGTGCTCACGGGTGATAGCAAGAAGAGGACAGGATTGGCCTAAACCTCTTATGAGTGGAATGATTGGTAGATGATTTATTTTTGTGTGATGCGAAGAAAGACTTTATTTCCTTTTAATGCATTTATGTACGCGGGCGCGCAAGTGTGTGTGAGTGTGTGTGTATACATAGTACATGTGTAATATATATTTAGTGATGTGGGTGTGTGTGCTGTGTGCTAGTCGTGCCTCCTGTGTGATGCTCCAAATGTTGTGTGTGTGTGTGTGTTGTGTGTGTTGTGCTTGTAGAGTTAATAATAAGGACTATCGCCGTAAATATGTTGAGTGTTTGGTGTGCGTATGCGTCTGCATTTGTATGTTTCAGTACTGACGTGTACACGTGCATCTGTGCATTTGATATTGTGTGTGCGCTGTGCACCTGGTGCTACATTCTATGCCAAGATTAACCGATGTTTGACATTCCTGGCCAGAAATAGCCGGTGTTTTACCTCTCCTTCGTAAGCAAACGGGATGTTGTTAGACTTTGCTGATTAAATTGGAGAAAAATATCATAGCTTTCCATAACGTTTTTTAAGAACGTTAGACCACAAAATGTGCTTATGGCTCATAAAATGCTCTCTCTCCTCTCTCTCTCTCTCTCTCGTCGCTCTCTCTCTCTCTCGTATCTCTACTCTCTCCTCTCTTCTCTCTCTCCGCTCTGCTCTCTCTTCTCTATCTATCCTAATCATCTATCTATCTATCTATCTCCTCTCTCTCTCTTTATATATATATCATACTGTGGTGTGTGTGTGTGTGGTGTGTGTGTAGTTGGTGTGTGCGTGTGGTGCGCGCTCCATGAAGTGTGGTGTGGGGTAATGATGTGCGTTGCGTGTGCGTAGTGCGTGTGGCGTGTGCGTGCATCTCTACAACTAAAATACAAAAAATGTCTGTGCGCTCGTTGCGTTGTGCGTGTGTGTGCCGTGTGTGTGATATTGTGTGACAAAGCTGGCCGAAAAAATCATCTCTTCCATCTAGTAGACACCGACCACCACGTGTGACATATAGGTGTGGTACACACACACAACACACCACACATATTATCATAGATGAGATATAGCATAGATATAGATATAGACTATAAAGTATGTCATGTGTTGTGCGTCAACACGATTAGTCGCTATCTCTCTCGCTTCTCCTCTCTCTCTCTCTCTCTCTCTCTCTCTCTCCTCTCTCCTCTCTCTCTCACTCCTCGCTCTCGCTCTCTCTCTCTCTCTCTCTCTCTCTCTCTCTCTCTCTCTCTCCTCTCCCTCTCTCTCTACTCTCTCTCTTCTCTCTCTCTCTACTCTATGGTATACTAACTATATAATATATTATATAATATATATTATAATATATACAATATTAATCTATACTATACACACACTACACACACACCACACACACACACACACACACACACATCACACACCACACACACACACAACACACACACCACACACACACAACACCACACACACACACACACACACACATCACTACACACACCACCACACACCACAACGTCACCCCCCCCACCCCCACCACACACACATATTATAATACTATACTATACAAGGACGATAGACGACGATGTGGGGCGAGAGGAGTCGAGCCAGGGAGTGAGAAGGTGACGGAGAGTCGGATAGATTAAGCATAGGACAATACGATAAGATACTCGAAAGAAAGAGAAGAGAAGATGACTGAAAAAGACGCAGCACGGACGGGCAGACGAGATGAACGACGAGACTTCGCGAGCGTCGCATCGCACCTTCACACATAATACTTAACCAGGGAGCAGCACGAGAGAGACGAGAGAGCATGAGATGACGAGAGAGCGAGAGATGATGTCGGAGAGGAGAGAGAGAGAGCAACACACCACACACACACACCACACACACAGCACGCATGCGCTAGGCGAGCGCGCAGCCGCTTCGAAACAAACAAGGTATGTGCAAAGACAAATGCGCATTAACTGAACTCATCATTACACATAACATGTACACACATAAAGTACCACAAATCCTAAGGCGGCAAAAAGTAGGTAGGATTCGTTAGTCTTGCGTTCCTTCGTAACATAAAAGGAGAAAGGGTATTGGGTACATGATGCTTATATTTCGAATGTATATTACCGTTTAACGGGAAGGAGGAGGAAGGAGGAGAGGTTGGCAGTTGGGAGTGAGAGGGCGGTAGCGGAGAGAGTGCAGAGAAAGTGAAAGAGCTGCGCTATCATCCTGCATTCCAACTGAACTTTCCATGAACGCAAAGACTCCAGCACAAATCATAAGGTGTGGGTGTGAGAAGAAAGATGGAAAGAGAGAATT